CACATGTGTCCGCTCTGTTTTGTTGTGCCCCGCGCGTCTTAGCCGCACTCTTCGTATTCATCGTAAGCCCGATCCGCTGCTCACCACTCTCGCGTCGTTAGCGTCGGCAGGACTGCGTTTACTACGTCGTTGTTGCCTCCGTCGTCCACACGCTGACGATAGCCATGACCTACGCGGACCAGACCAAGTTCCCGTCCTACACGGAGGCAGGCCTGCGCAGCGGTGCCTGTTCGTTGCGCTCGTCCAGCGTCCCCGTGCGAACGTGGAGCTCTTTCCGACGATCCTCCTCCTCCTCCTCCTCCTCCTCCTCCTCCTCCTCCTCCTCCTTCCCCTCCTCCTCCTCCTCCTCCTCTGTTCTGCCGATTCGGACTCCCTGCTGAAGCCCGCGCTCCGAACCACCAGAGGCCAACCCAGGCGTCGGGATCGCGCCATGTGAGCATCCATGGCCAAGACGCGTGGCAGCTCACAGCCCGGCCTGGCCAGCAACGAAAATAATGCGTCGCTTGCCCGGCGTGGTGGATTTCTTGCGAGTATCAACTGGCTTGGACCCCTTGACCAAAGCAAGGTTTTACCAGCCGCTTTTCCCAAACTCGTTGGCTGAAGGTGTGGCCCACTGTAAGAGCGAGGAGGCTCCGCTCACGCGAACATCTCCAGAGGCTCACGCGTACTGGCCTCTCCAGGGAGAACGAGGCGTCGTTGCGTTTGTCGTCTTCTCCATTTCCTTTCGTCGAGGGAGGGCCCGGCGGGGCCTGGCTGGGGGAGGGGGTGGGCGCGGCGGGAGCGGCGTCGTGGAGGCCCGAGGGGGGTCCCTGGGAGGTTTGGGGGCCGCCCAGGGGCCCATGCTTCCGGAGCGGATGAGCGCCGTCCCGCCCTCCCTGGGTGTGTCGAGGAAGCGCAAACGTGGATTGGGGCGCGCGGGTTGGCGACGGTCCCCCCGCTACGGTTACAGAATCGGCGCGCTCCGTCGTTACATCGGTCGGCATGGGCGCCATGTTTCGAGGGGGTTCCGATCCGTGGATCTGGCGCCCACGCGCCACATTCACAGATCCCTCATCCGTCTTATCGTGTGCCCGAGTTTTGTAGCGCCTGCTTGTGTTACCCGAGGGAATGAGCAAGGGAATAGGCGGGAATGAGCGAGGAGGAGGAGGAGGAACTGAAGAAGAGGAGAAAACGAGAGAAGTGAAGTGAGTGAGTGAGTGAGTGAGAAGGCGGACGCGTCACACGAAAAATCTGGGCGCGACGAGTGGAGTGTCCCCCGCCTCCGGCGCCCCCGCTTTTGGATGCTTTGATCGCAGAACCGCCTGAGACTTCCCCCAAATCTGGGCGCGAACATAGGAGCGTCTCCACCCCTGACGCCACCCCCTTGGGCTGCTGAAGCCAGCGCCTCGCCCGGCTGCTGAAGCTAGCGCCTCGCCCGAGAAATCCTCACAAGGAGGGACCAAAACAAGCAAACAGCCTGAAAAATCCCCACAGTCCGGGCGCGAAAGTTTCTTTGAGTCTGCCTTCGCCAATAGCGCATCCGCGCGGAGTAGTTCGGAGCAGAACTGCTCCAACCACTCCGCGCGTGGGCGCATCCCGCTCGATAGCTCATAGGGTTTGGAGCGGAGTAGTTTCCAATCCGCTTTGGGGGTAACAGAGTTACAAGCATTAGGCGGATCGGAAAACTACTCCGCCGAAAAACACCGTCAGCATGTCAGATTAGGAACCTTCAGAGGGATGCTAGATATTATCATGGCAAATGAAAGGAACTTACGGGCTGTGTATTGGAGCGTCCCCCACCCCTTGACAAAACCAGCGCCTCGCTCGAGAGTACGAGTTCGTCGCAAGTCTGAGAGAGTCGGAGTGTGAGTGAGTCTGAATGTGCGTGAATTTGAGAGTGAGTAGTGTGAGTGAGTCCGAGTGTCAGTGAGTTTGAATGTGAGTGAGTCTGAGTGCGAGGGAGTCGGAGTGCGATTGAGTCTGAGTAGGAGTGGGTCTGGGTAATATAGAGTCTGAGTATGAGAGAGTCTGACTGTGATGTTTCAGTCTGAATACGACTGAGTCTGTGAGTCTGTGTATAGTGAGTTCGGGCGAGGAAGAATAGGAGCCAGAGGAGAGAGAGGTGAGTGAGGAGTCGCAGGCGGCTGAGCAGCAACAAGAAACCCATCTTAGGATATGTGATACACGGAAAGTGTGCAACCGTATAAGTTGATAGCTGGCCGCGCCAGGGCTGCGGCGTGCCCGAGTCGGACGTGGGCGGCCTGCGGAAGGAGGCCCGCCGGACGATGGCGGAGTTCGCATTGGAGTTGGCCCGCGGCTTGTCGCCGCGATCGATTCGTCGGTGTTGTCACTCGTCGGGCGTCGGCGTCATCGTCGCTGTCGTCGTTGCTCGTCGCTTGTCGTCGTCGTCGTCGTTGCCGCTCGTCGTCGTCGTCGTCGTCGTCGTCGTCGTCGTCGGTGTCGTCGTCGTCGTCGTCGTCGTCGTCGTCGTCGTCGGCGTCGTCGTCGTCGTCGTCGTCGTCGTCGGCGGCCGCTAGACGAGAGCCTCCGACGGGCCCTTTCAAGGGCCTCCGAAGCGCGCGCGCACGTGCGCGCGGCAAGGCGACGCCCCCGCCGTGGCCAGCCGCCGCCTCCGCCGTGGCCACCGCCGCCGCCGTGCGCCTCCCGTTTTCGGTGTTGGTGCGATCCCCGTCCTCCTCGGCAGCGGCGATGCCCATCCCTCCACCTCCCCCCCTCTGTTGGCGTCGAGGCGGCTCTCGCCCTCCTCGGCAGCGTCGATCCCCGCCCCTCCTCCCTCCCATCCGACACCAGGGCATGCCTGCACAGCTGCATTGGTGCTGGACCACGCACGGATCTGCACCGTGAGTGTGTGTGTGTGGGCCGCCGCGGTGGAAAGATGTCGGAAAAGGGGGAACACTCCTCCTTCTCCTCCTCCTCCGCTTCCTCGTCCTCTTCCTGCTCCTCCTCATCCTCCTCCTCCTCTTCGTTCCTCCTCCTCCTCCTCTTCGCTCCTCCTCCTCCTCCTCCTCTTCGTTCCTCCTCCTCCGTGGCCATGTTTGGCTCAACTCTCCATGTCGCTCTGGCGGCCACATGGAGGCCGCTGGGCCGCGGGCGGTCCCCGGCCATGCCAGCAGGAAAAGCACACCCCTCCTCCTCCTCCTCCTCCTCCTCCTCCTCCTCCTCCTCCTCCTCCTCCTCCTCCTCCTCCTCCTCCTCCTCTTCGCTCCTCCTCCTCCTCCTCCTCCTCCTCCTCCTCTTCCTCCTCCTCCTCCTCCTCCTCATCCTCCTGAGCACGAATGGGCGACCCTGTTGTGCGCCCGGTGCTGGACGGAAGAGAATGTTCCAGACGCGTGGCACCAAGCTGATGCAGCGGCGGCCAGATTTAAGAAAAGAAACTCGGCGCTGTGTGCCAACTACCGCCCAATTTCGCTAGTGCCCATCGGCTACAAGCTCTACGCCTTTCTGCTGCTCAACAGACTGAAACGTGCTGGCGCAGAGTCTCGGATCTGGAGTACGCAGTTTGGATTCCGATTTGGTTGCGGAACGTTCGAGGTCTTGTTCATGGCCAGGAGATTTATCGGCGACACTTGGGACACGCAATCGGGCAAGCTTGTGTTCCCTGCCTTGGACTGGGCTAAGGCGTTCGACAGCGTGTTGGCGGACGCCCTGGTGCAAGCGCTCCTGAAATTCGGCGTCCCCGGATGCTGCGCCGAGGCCGTACGTGCGACTTACACAGACCGATCTTTCCGCATTCGCGATGCCAGGGTCATGCCGGACCCGCACCCGCAAGAGTTCGGAATGTCACAAGGATGCCCATTTTCGCCACTTCTATTTTCGATCGTCATGACCCTTCTGATGCACGACGCAAAGCGCGCCTTCCAGAGCAGGGGTTTCGTCGGCGCTCTTATGCAAGCGACACACGAGACTCGCAAGCAGTACGGCTTGGTTTTCAACTGGGACAAACTGGAAGCATTGCCCGTGCGATGCAGCGCGGACATCCGCAGATCGGATGGCGAGCCGATCCCGTAGAATGACAGCATGTTATACTTCGGAGGCCTCCTAGACGCCTTGGGCTCCAGTAGCACAGAGCTGAGCTTGCGGTTTGGCATGGCAGCGAAAGACTTTCACGCCGCACGTTGAATCTGGAAACGCGCCCTTTTGCCATGGCAGAAAAAGGGTTGCAATGTTTGAAGCAGGCGCCGTCGCAAGACGAACGCACTGTCTCCACACCCTGTGGCTTAGCGTGTCCGGATGCGACGAGCCAGATTCGTTCCAAGCACGGTGCTTGCGCATGCTGCCTGGCATCGGCCGTTCACGTCATAGCCGAGTCAGAAATGCAGCTGTTCTGCAGACACGTGCCGTCGCAGGTTCAGAACCACACCTGCGCACAGGCAGGTGCGTCTCTTGGGTCGCATTGCGGTTCTCCCGGACGACGCCCCCGCTTGGCGCTGCGCAGTCCGACCGGGACCTTGCCCTCTCAGCCGCACACAAGCCCCCTGAAAACGGAGGGGGGGCCAAAGAGCACGTGGAAGCGTAAAGTGCACGAGGCGGCCGTCAGAATTGCCGGCGGCTCGGGCGCTTCGCGCGGAATCTGTCTGGCAGGGCCCGCCAGGCAAGTGGCAAGCCACCGGCAAGGCTTTCTTTATCGCGCAAATTGTAATGATATTGCAATTGCGCCCCAGCCCCCCCGCCCGCCTGCCTCGCAGGTGGCGTCGTCGCCCCCTCCTCCTCCGCCGTTTTGCGTCGTTCCTCTGTCTGCTCTCTCTCTCTCTCTCCTGCTTTTCCCTCGGGCTGTCGCCGGGTCTTCGTCCTCTCCCTTTCCTCTCGGCCGTCGCCCCCTGTTGCTCGCTCTCCTCCCCCCCCAACTCTGCGTTCGTCTCGGCCTCGGCGTCGCTCCCTCCTCTGCCCCCTGCTGCCGTTGCTCTCCCAGGTCGACCACCCGCGGGCCTTTTGGGGAGAGGGATGTGCATGACAGAGTTTTAGATGTTCCGTGCCCATGGAGCCGGGGATGCCGAGAGGTTGCCGTTGTTTTGCGCAGCGTTTCATCTCGTTCGGCGGCTGTCATGCCGGCGCCGCTTGTCCCGCCCATGCACCTGTGACGTTTTCGGCGTATCTCTTTAGTTTATGTTATTATATATGTATATGTCTCTCCTCTCTCTCTCTTTCTCTCTCCCTCTCTCTCTCTCTCTCTCTCTCTCTCAGGGCCGGGATGAACTGGCACCCGCTGCTCTCCTTCTCGGCTTCCATATCTCTCGCGACGGTTGAAATGATCCTGTCGCCGTTCCTCGCCCTCGCGCGCGGTCTCCACGTCGACGTCACGCAGCTGCCGTTTGTCCTGCTCTACGCCGCGGTGCTGGCGCAGATCGTGCATCTCATTTCCTCGACGCCATGCCGCGCGCGGGCGTCTCCATGGTCAGCGCCCTCGCTGACGAAACCGCCGTCGGCGACCGCGGCACCAGCCGCTGCGTTTGAGGCATCATTCGAGCCAAACCTGACCACGACCCCACACGTCGAGGACCTGAACGCGGGCACCGCGCCGCTTACGAAAGAGAGCGACAGGCTCGGCATCAAGCTCGCGCTCCTGGCTCCTCTGGAACACGGAGCGGGTCTGGTGGACTACGCGGGCACAGCCCTGGCCCCGCTTGCACGCCTGTTCGCCGTGGCGGAGGTCACAGGGATGAGCTGCGAGACGTCGCAGCAGGTGGAGCTTCGCAGGGGCGACCTGGAGGTTCATATTCATCTGGGCAACCCCAGCACCTCCCTGGCGGACCCACCGCGCCATGCCACTCGGCTTCCAAGGAGGAGTCCGCTACTCGACGCGATGTTCCTCCACATTTCAACCTCGGCCAACCCGCATGCGAGCTCGAGGGCGCGCCCACCTTCAACGAGGACAACGAACGTGCCAAAGAACGCGGCCGCGCGGCGGCAGCGGCCGCAGCCCCCGCAGACCCTCTGCAGGGCTCCGATTCCAGGCGCCCGGCCGCTGCTGGCGGCGCTGCCGCAGAATATCGAGCGCGTCGAACATCTTTTTGATTATCAGAAATTGCTTCAATTTTTAACGAATTGGCTAAACACTGGTAGAGCCCAAAGCGCGGCCATCGACTTCAAGCCGCGCAAGCAGAGAAGGACGCGCACCGATGGGCGGAGCCCCTCTCGCCACGCTCACGGTCGGCGAAGCAGCAAACATCGACGCAAATCTCGCTTGGAACAAGCAGCTGGCCAACGCGCGCTCCATCGACGCGGCGGCCGTCGAGCACGCCTCCAGCGACGCCTTCTTCGAGGGCAGAGGAGCGCGGCGGGGGCGGCATCTCTCGCAACGGACCAAGCCAATTCGCTCGGCATTTTTTCCCATAGGAGCGGAAGAGGACCGCCGGCTGCCAGTCCGAGGCGTCGGCGGGCCAAGCGCCGCCAGCTCGCGCCACACCTGGGGCTCGGCTACGCACTGGCACTCCGGGAAGTAAACGGCTCGCGCGAACGTCTTCAGCGAGCGCGATCAATCGCCCCATGCCGGGCGCGCGCGACGTCTTCTTCAGTGGCGGCCCATCGGCAGGGGTTGGCGGGGTCGCCCTCCTCTTCCCCAGGCACGAGAAAGAGATCTGCTGCTTCCGACGCCGCCCCCGCCCCGCAGGCCCCGGGCACCCCGCGGCCATCTTCCCGAACAAGCGCCGCGAGCTAAAATTATTCCAGCTGTTCGGGATCCGCGCAGCACTCGGAGTCGGAGGGCGCAGTCGGCCTGGCCGAGTTCGCCCCCGCTCTCCCCGATTCTCTTCTAGAAGTCCCCGGGTTTGTCCAGGGCGCCAGGGAAGCACCGGCTGGCCCCGCGGGCGACGCGCGCGCTGAGCCAACGGAGGCGACGGCCCACATCTCGGGGCCGCTGGCCCCGCAGGCGCTGCTTCAGGACGAGCTCGTCGACGACCCCCGGCATCGGCTCGCCCGGCGCGCCCTCTTCGCGAAGATAGTTGAGCGCCCCCGCCTTCGACCATCTCTTCGCAGACACCGACGGCTACACATTCCCTCGCAAGACCGCGAACCCTCTCGGCGCCAAGCTCTGCACGAACAACTCTGAGGGTGGAGGCCAGTAGATCTCCCTCCACCCGCGCGGCTTCCTTCAGTTCCTCAAGAAGATGAAAGGGGCCATCCGCGACCTTTGGCCCAACGGCATCGTCCTCGCCCAGAGCGCAGACTACCTCCCGACGACACTGTTCGACAACCGCCCGAAGACAACGCTCGGGGGGACAGGGTGCCAAGCCCCCCAAAAAAACTTGGTGCTCGGCGCGGAGGCAGAGGAGATTCCGCCTCCGCCCCGAGATTGCGACGTTGGGGCGCACGGGGCTCAGCCTCCGTCCCCAGCGCTTTGGCAACCGACGTGCCCCAACCACATTCACGCCCCGACCCATTCGTCAGCTCCCCCATGGCGAAGGGGGCGTGGTCGCGACCAGCCCGTCGAGATCTTCAGCGAGAACGGCGAGCGCGTCGCCGACGTCCTCGACGGGCACAATTGCGAGCTCACCCCAGCACAGTGAGCGCATGCACGACAGGTCTGGGCCAGATATCAGAAATGGGCCAGCCGTTCACACGTCGACTCCATCCTCATCGCGCTCAGCGACTCCGACATTCACGACGCGCCGCCGGTCTCTTCCGCCAGGCCCAAGCCTGCCCTCATGCAGTTGATAGGTGGAGATCAGCAGCATTAGTCCGCCCGGCGTGCTTTATTTTCCACGATGGCCGAGCTCAACGGCACCTGGCCCGCCCGACATGACAGATACAAAGAAGAGGGACCGAGAATTGATCGGATCTCTTGCAGCCCCCCACCGCGCGCACAGCCGACCTCATCGATGTCCGTGTCCGTTGTCAGCGACGCAGCTGCTCTCAGAGAACACAGATTGAGCGACCACGGCATCTTGACCCCACCGATCCAGTTAGCAGAGAAGGAGGAGGCTGACCAGACCATCCCTGACTTCATCTTCAAGCTGTCCCTGCACGCGAAGCAGTTCGCTCCTTCTCTCGCAATTGCAGGTGGGCAATCTTCCAAACCCTGCTCAGCGGCGGGCGCACGCGCCACGCATGATCAGCGCTGCCCGCGCGGCGCGCAACTACTTCGCGAAGCCCTTCGGCGGCGCCAGAGGCCAGACCGCAACACAGGCGCGCCTTCCCACTTACCGCGCAGATCTCGCGCTGCGCGGTGACAAGATGACGAGCTTGCTGCCGACCTCATCCTGACGACGGAGATCGGAAGGTAAACCTCGGCAATCTCGCTAGGCGGCCACGTCTCTCTAGCCGACGAGGCGGAGTTCGGCAATGAGTCCCGCGGCGCAACGCGCAGCCAAATTCGCCAGAGCCAATCGATGGCGACATCTGCGGCCCAGCGCGCCACGGCCCAAGGACGCTGCCTGGAAGCAGATTCTGCGCATAAGCAGGCACGGCTGCGTCAACGTCGGAGCCGCGCCTAGGCCTCACTCGATCGCACCCTCACGATGGTCGGGATTCGCCCCCCTGCCACACGCGCACGGCGTCGCCGCGATCGTCGCCAGCACGGCCGACGAGTTGCAAGCCCTCCAGAGTCACTTGTCACTTATCTTCGCGAGCAAGCACGCCAACCAGCAGGAGGTGAAGAGATACCTTGGCCGGCACGTCCCACCCAACACCACGCCGCTGGACATCTCGATTCCGACCGCTCATGCACTTCGCCAGGCCGCCTTCCGCGCGCGAGCATCAGCACCAGGCTCTGACGCGCTGCCCCACAAGGCGCGGGATGCCACCCTGGGGGCCAACGTGGCGCCAGAGGGGCTCACTTGGCATTGCCATGAGAAGGGCGAGTCGCCCCGCGGCTTCAGCTTCTCCACCCCCCCTTCATCCCGAAAGGAACAGACAGACGAAGCTGACGCGCACTCATTCACGCGGGAAGCTGGCAACATGTGCCCCACCATTCGCAGGGACACGGACTCCAAGGCTTTCGCAGCCCCCGTGAACCGCGCCATTCGCAAGAGCAGGTCGAGCAATTCACCCGCCCCACGCAGCAGGGGTTCGTCCGCGGCAGGAACTCCCGCACCATTATTCGCCTGGATGCGGAGGCCAGGGTCGCTGGACTCCAACCGCCGGCCGCGTTCAACGAGCCGTCCTTTCTCCTTTTTGACACTTCAGCGGCCTATCCTACTCTTAGGACGACTGTGGCTATTCTACACTCCTCAACGCTTCGGGCTACAGCTCGGGGTTCTGAATGCGGCTGCTGCGGCGCACCAGGGCTTTCATCGGCTTCGCCACATTTGACGGCCAGTTTTTCTTTCTGCCTTGTCGAAGCAGCGCTTGCGCGAGGCTGCCCGATCTCTGGGGCGATGTCGGCCATGGCCACGGGCGCCAGCATTCGAGCTGTCGCAGACGTGGCACCAGACAACGATCATGGACGTGCTGGGGGATGTGCCGACGATCTCACAGTCCTTCCTCTTCGCCTCATGATGTTCCAACCTACTTTAGCCTCGTTCATCAGAAATTATTTCGAGCACCAACAAAGTGCCGAAACGCGAGGGTTTTCACGTGTCGGGCCCTGGGACACACTCGTTCGACACTGTTCCGACACTGCTTCGACATTTGCAGGATGCTCGAAATTATGTTTGTGATGTGGTCCTTAAGTACGATGGGAGCAACATAATCCTCGCCTCACGTTACTCCTTGACCTGGCAGAATGTCTGCAGTCTTGCGGGTAAGCACGGCCACCGCAAGCTCGACACCAAGAAGAAGTGCGCGTTCCTTCCCTGGCTCGCAGGTTCGCGAGTGATTTTCCCGCGCGCGAAGGCGCCGCCTTGGAGCGGCTTCGATGTTGATTGGGAAGGGCAAGTTTTAAATCGGGCCTGTCCTTCTACAGGAGGAAAATTCAAAACTAGTCCAAAAATAGTCTGGGGACGATTGTTCGACCACTGTTGATTATTTGTAGTGTATTTGTGATTTTTCGTCCAAGATCCGCATGTAGGGGGACACGCCCGACATAAGGCAAGTACCTTGGAGCTCTCGTCGGCCCCGGTGCCCA